GGAAATGACATATGCAGTTAAATGCATGACATCATTAATTTGCATGACGTCATATGACATAACATCATTTCTGGAGAGGAGGAGTTTGTAAATTTGTTGATATTATTGTATACTTATTTTGTCATGTGTGGTGAAGGACCACACATTTGGGGGGTTACACCTTCACTTACACACGTGACAAATTTGTTAATGTTTATTGGTTTGTAAATAGACCCTGTACAGCTAAATAAAAGTTGTGGCCTGTTTAAACCCAAAAAGAGGCGTCTCATGTCCTTTGTGCCAGTGTAACAGTATCCCACTATAGTGAAAACTAGTTGTCAATAATAAGTATTCTATCAAAGTTTTCTTCCTGGGAGTCATTCTGCTAGTTTTCTAATGTGAGCAATGTTTTCCCCCCCTTTCTTTTTCTCTTTCAGAGTGAAGATGGAACAAGACCTAAAACAATGGATTCAAGCTACAGGGAAATAAGACTTTGTGATACTAAAAAGTGTTCAAAAGTGGAATACACTCTCTCAGAGTGTGGTAGAGTATCCTTCTTTGGAAGTTTTTTAACAGAGGCTGGATGGTCATCTGTTGTGGGTGCTTTGATTATGTATTCCTGTATGGCGGGGGGGGGGTTTAGACTTGATGGCTTTTTAGTTCTCTTCCAACTCTATGATTCTATGATTCTACGACTTTTGTTGTGTGCCTTCAAATCATTTCTGACTTATGGGCAACATTAAGGAGAACATGGGGCTTTCTTGGCAAGTTTGTTCAGAAGAGTATTGTCATTGCCTTCACCTGAGGCTGAGAGCATGTGACTTTCCCAATGTCATCCAGTGAGTTTCATGGCTGAGCTGAGAATTGAACTCTGGTCTCCTGAGTGGTAGTCCAACATTTAAACCAGTACACTACAGTGACTCACATGTGGCACAGCACACAAACATGTTCTAACTATATCTGCTGATTGTGGGAGATAACCTAAAGAGACCCTTCATACATTCATACAACACCCATCATAGTGATGGGTTTTTAATAGCTTTATTTAGAACACTAGTTTTGAGATGCATTTTCATGTGACCTTTTTGGCAAAATTAATTACAACTTTCAAATACATTAACCCTCTGTAAGGATACATTTAAAATAAATAAGTAGCAAATCAAATAATAACTAGCAAATAAACTAGGCCAATATTTTTCTACTAAAGGAAGATAAATATCATATAAAATGATCTGTGCCCAGATTTTACAATGATTTTTTTTCTTACTGCACAGAATAACATCATTTATTACTATTAAGCTGCTAGCAGACATGCTTTGATGGCAGCTTGCATTTACAGTTCCTATAGAATGATTTAGATCATCAAGTTTATATTCCTTTTCTACTTCATTGACAATTAGTAGGTTAAAGATGTTCTAACCTTCTCTGGAAGCCTAATTTATTAAATACTATGACAACAAGTCTGCAGCCATATGTAGAATAAAAAAATGCTTTGAAAGCTTTTATCGGCAGTTTCTATACAACAAATTATGCAAAGCAGACATTTTGCTTCAAAACAGAAATGTATTATATTAATAATGTATTTGTCATTTGTTGAAATTACTGATGCTCAGATGCCAACATTACACATCATCCCTAAAAGGAGGTAGAGAGGTGGGAAAAAATAATTGAGTTCAAGAAGGATTGCTTGCTTAATTGCAGAGATACTTGCTGAAGCAGACAATTAAATTTTGAATATCCAAGCTTCTTAGAGGATCACACTGGTTAGAGCTGAAATGAATATCGACAAACATTTAAACTTCACCAAGATTTCAAATTTTTACCACTTCAGAATTTTGAAATGCCAAAATAGAAATCTACATCTACCTTTTGAACTGGACATTTTATCACTTTGTGGTTATGTCAACTCAATTTGTGTTTATATCAACTCAAGTTGAAATTCTCAACAATTTGATGTTAAGTATCACAAAATACAGAATCTCATGAACCTCAGTTCTGAAATGAGCATAGTCATGATAAATAATACATACTGTCACATTTAAAAAAACATATTGAAATCAATGAAGCTTATGTTAGCCATAAGTAATTAGTGGTAGTGCTTGAAGTGTGGCTAAATTATCATGTTTCCTATGGAGTTCAAAATTGTGATCTTCACCTCCTGGACCTCATAAGAAAGTTTAAGTACTTCAACATTATGTTTGCATCTACATTGTAGAAATAATGCAGTTTTTTACCAATTTAACTCTCATGGATCCATCCTACAGAATACTGGGATTTGTAATTTTGTGAGTCATGAGCATTCTGTAAGAGAAAGCTAAATTACAAATTGCAGGATTCTATAATGGAGCTACAGCATTGTAGAGGTATCAGACTGCATTATTTTTTACAGTGTAGATGCACCCTCAGTGTGAGATTATAGAAGTGGTCATAAAGCATGAAGCATGCACCCTTTAAAACATTCCATGAATCCACCCTAATGTAACAAGTTGTTTTCTATGGCCACACCTTAAATTATTACACAGCAGGAAACCAAATGAGATAACCCATACTTAAATACACCTATTTAAATTTTGCTACTTAAATACAGCTAGTTGTTTCTTTCTGTATTTGTTTTCTTGTTTGATATTATCTAATGTATTTCTGTACAAATTTTGTATGACCAAATATGTAATAGAACTCATGTTAAAGAATAAGTGCAGGATAAAACCAATGGTAAGCTCCCAAAATTATCTTCTGCACACAGTCTGAAGGAAATACAAGTGGAAACCCTCCCACCCCTATCTCTCCAAACACTTGGCCCACTTCCAAACATTTGGTTCATGGATACATTCCAGAGATAGTGGCCAATGGGAAATCACCAATATCTGACTCTAATTTCTTTCTCCAATAAATTGTAATTAAAAAATATTATTATATTTGGGGAGGGGGGGAGGGAAATTTCACACATTTTGTGAGGACCATTGCAATGTTCTCATTTCCCTATTGATTGTTCCCAACATCTAGCAAACAGCATACTGCTTCAAATTATTATTATTATTAAAAGAGAGAGGCTATGTTTAGCTATCATGGCACAAAATTCATACTCATATTAATTTGGATAATAATAATAATAATAATAATAATAATAATAATAATAATAATAATAATAATTTGCTAGTCATTTGGGGGCCAGGTAGGAATTTTCTCTCCTTTTCATGTCCCCCTCCACTCCTATGCTGTGCTTTGGAGACTGGAAATTGGCCTAGGCAGCCACTTGGCAGATTACCTATGGCATCCATTCACCCTTTTAGTGAAGGATATGTCTCTGGAACTGCCACCACTGTGCATGTGGCTAGGGTGGTGAGGAAGGAGGCTGTCCTTGGGGCTGGCTGGGGGAATCTTGCTCTCCATAGTAGTTATGCAGCTTGGAGGTTGGATCCTCTGGTAGGTCTTCCAGCATTTGGCTGTCCAGAGGGCAACCCAATTTTTGGATTCTTCTCAGGGTTCAAGTATTTTGGTCAAGGGAAGCTGTGGAGGAGGTCTAGAGAGACCAACTACTTCAGCTGGTCACTCATTAGGTTGCCCCTCCTTTAATTGCATTTTTCAAGAAACAGGTTTAAATAGGTAACAGTTTAAATAAAATTGTCCATATTTTATCCCAAGTTCTGTATGTGATCTCATTACTTAATCAGTTCATCATCAATAGTTCTTGCTGTTGAGTAAATATGCTATTGTGGCTACTGGAAAAGAAAGGTATTTTCCTTTGTATCTTCTATTTGTATCTTTTGTTATTACTGTATGCTTTTAGTTCATTTCTGACTTATGACAACCCTAAGACAAAACTATCATAGGGTTTTCTTGGCAATTTTTATCCAGAGGTTGTTTCCCATTGCCTTTCTTTGATGTTGAGCAAGATGTACCCAAGGTCACTTTATGGGTTTCCTTGCCTCAGTGGGAATTCAATCTCTGGTTTCCCAGAATCCTAATGCAACATCAAACTACTACACCAGCTCATTGTCAGTTGTATCTTACAAACACCTAGATGCCTTTATTTTTCATGAAAAGGTCCAAAAAATATTCTAGGTGTGATCAATCCACATATAACATTATTCTATCAGTAAAATAGAAAAACACATTGTCTACATGATACCTCCAACATAAGTCAATTATAAGTTGACTGTGTGTGTGTATTTAGTTCCTGGAAAGTTAGATTCTACCAGAATTATCATTTGTGAAGCTCTAAAAGAAACCCTGCTCAAATGTACCTTATATTATAATAATAATAATAATAATAATAATAATAATAATAATAATAATAATAATAATATATTTATAGCCCGCCCCTCTGTGCGGCAATCGGAGCGGGGTGCAATATTTTTTAAAACAGACAGAGTTAAAAACATTCCCTCATCCCATAATCCCACCCTTCCATCCCCTTAAAACAGAATTAAACTAGAAACCAATTAAAAATACAACAATAAAATGAAATAAAAACATCCTTGGTAACATAAGGAATCAGAAATAACAAATTAAAAACTCATCTCTCACCAAACAAGTTATTCCGGGAAGGCCTGCCGAAAGAGATCCATCTTTACTGCTTTCTTAAAAGCAGCAAGAGTAGTGATAAGATGGATCTCATCCGGCAGGCCTTTCCAAAGTCTGTCAGTGGTCGCAGAAAAGGCCCTCTGGGAGGTCTGAGACAGCCTAGTTTTTAGTGGCTGTAGCAGATTCCTTCCAGAGGACTGAAGGGCGTGGGGGGGATCATACAGGGAGAGGCGGTCCCTGAGATAAGATGGACCCAAGCCATGTAGGGTTTTAAAGGTCAAAACCAACACCTTGTACTGCACCTGGAAACTAATTGGCAGCCAATGGAGGGAATTCAGCACTGGTGTTATGTGCTCCCTCCTTGATGTTCCTGTAATTAAC